GAGCTCATTACTGCTGATAAGAAGAGAAATGGTGGATACCACTTCCTTTTGGTAGTCAGTGGTAGGGTCCTGTTGGAGAGGGAGGTAGGCAGAAGTGTCACTTAGTTGTTTAGAGGCTTCAACGATATATTGATCCTTACGCCACACCACAACAGCACCTCCTTTGTCTGCTGGTTTGATGGCACAGTGCTTGATCCACCCACCCAAACCCTGGTAAGCCTTGCAGAATTGGTCCTCACACTGAAGGCATTCTCTTTCAATAATCTTTTTTACCAAAAAATAAAAGAAGTCTCTGGCCTATGAATGTTTTTAGTATCACCTGCTATGATCATCTTTGTCCTTGTTGTCTGGTTTGTCTTTCTTCTTTCTGTGTGTCTGAAACATGGCTGCCATTGTGATCTCTGTCTGCTCCTCGTTGCCACTGGCTATGCTGTTGTTCATGGCCGGAGACGATTGTACTAAAGAGTCTCAACTGGAAGCTCTGAAGTTGGTAACTAAGAGGTTTTAACTCCTCACGGGCTGGGATGAAGAAAAAAGAAGCTGAAAAGAAGCAACAAATCGCAGAGCTGCTTGTTTGGTTTCAAGGTAAAGAGACAAAAATTTCTAAACCTGGACTCAAAGTTGTTGCATCTTACACGATGTGAAGGGGATTGAAACAGAAAATTGAAACAGATTCTTCACGAGTTTGAACTTTTATTTCCAGATGTTCCAACCAGGACTGACCACAATGTTGATGTTGGCGATTCTTTACCAGTGAAACAACATCCTTACAAGCAGAATCCCATTAAACAAAAGTATTTACACAGTGAAATTCAGTATCTTCTGGACAATTACTTGATTGAACCTACTGTAGCAAAACCTGATGGAAGCTACCGAATGAGTACCGACTACAGGACAGTTAGCAGTTTGACTACAATGGACACATTTCCAATCCCTCGAACCGATGACTGCATTGATGAAATTGGGAACACCAAGTTTGTAACCAGATTGTAACCAAATTTGTAACCAAAAACTCAAAGGATTTTGGCAAGTTCCTGCTACTGACTGTGCTAAAGAAATCTCAGCTTTTGTTACACCAGATGGACTCTTCCAATATAAAGTTATACTGTTTGGCATGAAAAATGCAACACATTAATGTCTTATTAACAACATGATTTCTGGTCTCAGTGGTTGTGAAGATGTACTTCTTTACAGTGATACGTGGGAAGAACATCTGCCGGTTATATGAGGATTCTTCGAATGTCTGACAAAGCTAGCTTACGATCAACCTCGCCAAGCGTGAATTTGGATTGTAAATTATTTAGGATATGTTGTCGGCCAGGGTCAAGTTAAACCTATCGATGTTAAGGTCTGTGCTATTTTGAGTTTTCCTAGACCAGAGGGCAAAAAACAACTGATGTGCTTTCTTGGTGTGGCTGGTTCTTGGTACATTTGTATGGTCAGAAAACGTAAAGTCTTTCTGAAAAGCGATTCAGGTTTTGTCAGCAACACATTTCAATTCACAATTAAAAACAGCTGCAGATGCAAGTGATGTTGCAGCCGGTGCTGTTCTATTGGAAGAAGGCAAAGATGGAGTAGATCTTCCAATTTGAAACTTTTCTAGTAAGTTCTATCCTTACAACACTTTCAGGAGTATGTTTGCTCTTCAATTCAACCCATCACTGTCTGTAGTGATCACAACCCCCTCCTGTTTATTCATCAAATGAAACATAAGAGCCAAAGACTGATGAGCTGGAGTTTGATATTACAAGAATAGTCTATAGGAAAGGCAGGAACCGACGGAGCTGAAGAGAGGGGGATTCAGCACTCCTGTAGGTCACTACTCTAACGGTCAGCGGTCATATTGGATTTGCTGCTTATCGAGGGATACTGAACTCTGCTGCTTGTCTATTCATTGTTGTGGATACAGGGGTTGAAAGGGAAATCCTAGGAGCACCATCATGTACAGAAGACTGCCGGACGCATATTGATGGATAAGGACTCTAGAGAAGTGTCCTGGTTTTCTCTTCACTCTTTATAAGTAGTTGTTATGATTATTTTTGTTACTGTAAAGAAATTGGTAAATACAAAGAAAATCACAGACTGTGTTTATTTTTCGGTATCATGACAATGGTGCTTGTATTGATACCAGCACAGGTGCCTTTTCATTGAGAAAGGGTTCGACTCCCCTCCTTAGTTCTTCACAAGCACTGCCCCACAGCTGCAAGGGGTCACTTTTGTCTTCGGTGCCCTCGCCCCCTGAGATTATTGCCCCAGCCTCAGTCACATGTCCCACTGTAGCTGGAGCACAACTACAGCACATGGCTTCTACAGCACGTGTGGTACACGAGACAAACATCTCAGGGCTTTCTCATCTTGTGAGCTGGACTTTTAGGCACATTTGTATCATCTGTGTGTCGCACAAAGAGTTTAGACAATCATGTTCCCTTTCAGCCAGTATTTTGATCTGTTTAGGAGTCTTGTTGTTTTCTTGTTTAAATCCCAAGAGGTTTCCTACAAGAACTGTTGATATTGGAAACTCCCACTTCCCATCAGAAACTCTGGGACACTACACTGTGTCTGTACCCTCTCTGTACTCCTGTGAAAGCTCTCTGGCACACCGAGTCCTGAAGGTGCTGTAGAAGGACTCATATTATGAATCCTATGCACATTTTGCACATATTTTATGTTTTTACAGTGACTATGATCATCATATTTTTCTACTACTGTATGAATTTATTTTTATTTATTTTATATCTATTTTGTATAATGTTTTGTCTATTCTGATGTCTGTTTTTGCTTGTCTTGAGCTGGACTGCTGTAACACATCATTTTCCCTTCGAGATCAATAAAGTCTTATCTAATCTATTCTAATCTAATATGGCCTTGTGGATTTTCAGTGGCGTGGGCAGGAGAGAAAGTGAAAAGGAAAGTGTAACTTCTCGTGCTATCTTGCACAGTTTCAAGATGACTCCTTAAATACTGATTGGCATTTCTGTGATAAGAGGAATAAGTATGAGTAAGTTATTTATCACTTATCAGCAGGTAGGTTTCAGATACTGTATCAGTGCAGCTTTGGGCTAAAACAGAAGTAAAACTGTTTGCTATATAAACTCACAGTAATAAGATTAATTTTCTTTCCTGTGTGCTGTACTCCCAGCTCTGCAGCGATCTCTTCACTCTGACAGCTCTGTAGAGCCCAGGGCCCTCAGGAGAGATGAGGACACTGACTGCGCTGGGGCTCCTGGCTGCTGTGTGGGGAGCTTTGAGGACTGAAGGTACAGTAGTTCCCTCTTCTTCCTCCTGCCTCTCCTCAGCTCAGGAAGGGTGGGATAGAGGACAAATTCAATAATATATAATCCTGAGAAACTGATGATCAATACATTTGAAATTGGAGCAAATGTGTTTCGAGTTCTGTTCATACCTTGGAGGCTTCGTGAATAAAATTAGGTTTTACATTTCGGCACAGTTTCACACAGCAGCCCTGACTCTGGGGTTGGAGCCTCCTGGCGTAGAAGGTTTTTAATTTACAGCAGGAGACCAGGTCAGTTAGAGCACAGGGGGGCAGAGACCTGCAGACTCTGCAGTCATACAGGTCGTACAGGTCCTCCGGATAGGTGTCAATCTAGCTTTACACACACACTTGTGCAGCCTCAGGCCTGCCTGGTGTGTACGTGTGTCTGGAGTAATGTCTGCTGTGTGTCTGCAGTGATGCCCTTCCAGCATGACTGACCAGTGTTCTAGTGATGTGAAAGATTGCTCTTTGCTTGAATTAGAGTTCTTATTAAATTGCTGTACAGTGTATAATAGTGTAATTTTATGCAGTATTGTGATAATGGTAACTGTAGTAAGTGTGTACGTACTGTATAAGAATGATATCACCCTGTATAAGGTTTTGAGGATCGTGACCCTGAAGCACCGGTACCTGCAGTAATCACAGGGCTCCTTGGCTCTGGGCCTGATGATCCACTCTTCTGTGGCCCCAGGTTTCTCTGTGCAGGGCCCCAAGGAGCCTCTAGTGGCCAGGCCTGGGGACGAGGTGCTGTTGCCCTGCTCTGTGGACAGCACTGTCCCCCTGCAGGAGCTGGAGGTGGAGTGGAGGAGGACAGATCCAGACACCCTGGTGCTCCTGTTCTCCGGGGGGGAGAGCAGGCCGGAGTCCCAGGACCAGAGCTACCGGGGCCGAGCGGAGCTCTTCCCTCAGGAGATTCCCAGAGGAAACTTCTCTCTGCGGCTGGCCAACGTCACGGCCGAAGACACAGG